CAACACACAAGGACACAATCGGACCTCAGACTCGGCAACGGGAACCAAAACAACACAAAAACCTAATTAATGACACCAAGAACTCACAAAAAAGGGGCGAAACTATATGTAAAGGTTTCTTGTTGTCAATGCGGTAACCGCCAGGACGTCTACTGTAAAATTTATAAAAACAAAATGTAAATATGACATGCTTGTGTCTGTTCTTTCACTGGACAGTAACGTACATGTCGTGTTGCTATAGATACCGTATCCTGTAACAGTGGCAGCATATGTTCCTTACAAGGGAATAAGTTAATGGTTTTATCACTGAATTGATCCTATTTTCATTTGTTTACCATGTTTTTACCATCTCCAAAAACTTCAATAGCTTGTTATCTTCAGAACTGATTTCATTCAACCTAGATTTGTCAATTTAACCAATAAAAGAGAAGACACTATAGCAACGGTAACATTTGTATTACAAGTACATCCGGGAAACTGCCCCGCCATCTTCAAAAATTTAAGAATACTGAAGGGTCAACAAATAAAATGGGGCAAAATGTGAACAAAGGTAAGATTTATATGGAGACCCTAGAAAAACAACAGGTGTTCCGGAAGGGTAAGCGTCTTCTGCTTCATCGACGACACCCGCCTTGTAAAAGCCATCTACGAAATAAGAACTCAGGGTGTTCTTCGTCGTCCTCTGATTCGAGGATATTGGAGAAAGTAGAATTGATAAGTTGCCCCGATTGCGATAATTGAAATATGAATATATCCCTTTCTCACTTCTCTACACTTTCTTCGGCGGTTTCTCCCTAGCCGCCCGTATTTATGACCTTTGTTCCAGCTGATGCAAAGTTGTTGTTTTTTATTAATGATTTTTAATGTTACTTACAAACTGCCTTCATAAAGAACTCCGTTTGTTGAATAGAGGTGGCATTCTTTCTTATACATGTGGCAAGCAAACCTAGCATTTTTTCATGGCAAGATTATCACAATTAAAATGCCTAACGTATGTAGGATATATATATCTGCATGTGATATATACTTATTTTATATAGTTTTTGAAACATTTTATAGTTAATGAGATATCTCAATTATTTCTGTATATCCTATTTAGTATACAATCTTACTATATATGGCATAACATCAAATATATTCTATATAAAACATATATTTGTAAGATATCATTCTATGAAGTTTATAATCGACTTTGCTCTTTGAAAAGATTTTAAGTTAGCTTGCCATCATAAACACTGTACTCACACTATGGACCAATCATTGGGTGTATCTATTAAGGTTTGTTTTATTTTGTGTAACATTCTAATAACAGCTAAGGATGTGCATCCATGTGTGTGTTATACTGACCAGTTGTTGCCATCACCCTAAATGCTGAAAATCAGGGAATAACAACAACCATTTTAAGGACGTTGGTATGTCCCGGCCTGGGGACAGCACCCATTGCCTTATTCTAAAGACTCTGATACAGATTTACCCTCCCTGGTCCAATTAGGACATCAGACAAAAGATGGTTTAAGGAAGGAAAACCTAAACTCCACAATGGCGCACATTAGTTGCTTCACAAGGTCTAACAAATGGATACTTTACTCGAACCTCCACGAGTATGGAAAACTTTGAACATTTTTCTTAAACACCTCTTGCTAAACTAAATACAGTTTCAAATAATTGACAGCGGTCGAGACACACACCCGACAACCTTACATTATAAACAGTTATTACACTATGCCATCTTACTATTATGATATATGTTTGTATAAATAGAAGTCAATTGTTCCAAAACCCAGTTATCTACACATTTCAATCTGTTATATGTACACTATAGTACTATAAAATCACCCCGATCCACGCCTATAGATCCAATCCCATATCAGAACCTATCTGCTGGTATTTCGGAATCACCACATGTACTTCATCTTCCCAATGAAGATAATGTACCCAATATCTATTCAAACTTTTCCCCTTTTCCTTTCTCTTTGCTTTCCCTACCTACCCTCATCCGCTACTTTGTCTAACCCGTTTCCCTTCTCTTTTCTAAACCCACATCCAGTCATCCCCATTTGTATTAAACTGCCCGTATATGCCCTTCTCGCGCCCCAAAATTTCTGATTTATACCCTCCTTAGTAGGTAATGATGTTGGTGCGTGGAGGGCTGCCATAGGCTGTTTTCACTGTAAAGTGGCAACCATTTTAATAACATACACTTTCAAAACATACCCTGCAGATTTTGTTGGTTATTTACAACATATTTGTTTTTACAACAATCTTATATCACTAACGTAAACATATTCTTTCCTTTGATAATCCATCTTCTTCTTCTGACATGAGGAGATATCCATTCCAACCCTGGTCCAAACTCTAGTAATATGACGGCAACCCATTCACTGAATCTCATGCATCTAAACATTAGAAGTATACGAAACAAAATAGGCTATATTGAAGCATTGACCGACGATGTCGACATTCTTCGTATAACCGAAACTCATTTGGATCCTTTTAGAACTAATGAAGAAATTAAGCTATAATAGGGCTTTAGTGACAAACCGTTTCGAAAAGACAGGAATATGTTTGGAGGGGGTGTATTGTTATACTATTCTCCATCTCTCGTTGTTAAAAGAAAACCTGAGTTAGAATTTGCTAATGACGAAGTAATATGGGTACAAGTTTATTTAAATGAAATTACACATATAATAGGTAATCTATACAGACCACCTAATCTAAATTATTCTGACGGTATATGGCAGAGACTAAAACATTCCTTCGACCTGGCATTCGATATTACAGATAATGTTATTTTGATGGGCGATCTAAATGTTGACTTTTTAAAATCCTTGAGAGACGAATTATTCAACTTACTCACTTTGTACCAGATGTCAAATATTATAACCTTACCTACCAGAATAACGGACCATTCAGCAACGTTATTAGATCCAGTAATTGTCAGGAACACAATCAACACTTTTTTCAGTGAAGTAATTGATATAGATGAAAATATAAGTGACCACAATGCTGTGTTTACAATAATTGAAGTACCGAAACAAACCCCAACAGTTTTCAAACGAAATGTATGGCTATATGACAAAACAGACATCGAAAAGCTTAAACGTTTTATCACAAATAATCAAGGGAAAACCAATCTAATACGTTTAATGACGTTAATGACATGTGTGATTTTCTGACAACCGCTATATTTAACGCTGTAGATATATGCATACCATCTAAATATGTGCAGATTAGACAACATGACAAACCCTGGACCAATAACATTGTCACAAGACAAATACGTACTAGAGATCGATAGAGATCGATTAAAAAGATACTTATACAAATAATAATAATGATTCAAATAGGATGCTATATAAGCAATCAAGAAATAAAACAAATAATATGATAAAACGAGCAAAAGAACTTATCTACGAAAATGTCGACTCTATTATAGTTAAAAATAAATCTAACCCCAAAACATACTGGAAATTGTTAGGCTTGTGCTAAAAGGAAGCCAAACTACTGATATATCACCACTTTTTGATGACAATGCTAACGAATTCACGAATGAAAATAACCATAAATGTGAACTTCTTAATAACTATTTTTCTTCAATATCCAGTCATTCCGAAGTAGACCAAAACAAACTTATGACACAGAGTTTCACATACAGCGTTTAACAATTCTCTCTTAAATCTTCAAAATTTATATGTTCCAAAATAATATCTGATTGGTGATAGAAAACTTAACATTTTACATACCAGATTAAGAAACAGAGCTAGTACCTTAAATAATGATCTATTCCATGCAAATCTAATGAATTTCCGACACTGTCAATGTGGTCATCCTGTTGAAGATACGTATCATTTCTTTTTCGCTTGTAACAATTATGTACAACAAAGAATTAAATTATATCGTGAACTAAACTATTTCANCCCCTCCCCCCCTCACACACACACACACACACACCTCCCCACTCCACTTTTTTTTTTACAGATATTGTACGAATTTGGTATTAATTTTATCTATGTTTGTTAATTTATTAGTCGAAAATCATTTTTTTATCTTAAATGTTGAATAGTCGTGTTTCTGGTCTTCCCCGATACAAACGGCACTAGTGAAACGAACTGAAATACCAGAAGGAATCGAATTTACAAGGAGAAGGCAACAGAGGCACGGGAAGTGATGAACATTAGAAAAGCAGAGTGTTTTGAATAGTGGACAGTGTTACTAGTGCCTTCTGTGTCGGAGAAGATCACTACCACGATCTAACATTAAATATCTTCAAGCTATGACCTCCCCCANTCTCTCTCTCTCTCTCTCTCTCTCTCTCTCTCTCTCTCTCTCTCTCTCTCTCTCTCCCCTCTGTAACACTAAACTTAATTGAAATTATTAATTAATTTAAAAATTGCCATCTTGTATATATATATTTCATTATGTTATAGGGAAAGGGCTTTACAAAAGTTGGACAACTTGTGCCCAATCCCTTTTGTATATTAGATGCAAATAAAAATATGTTTAAATCAAATGAATTGGCTGGATTCCACTAAGTAATAGAAGGGAAAATAGAAAATTATCCCTATTCTTTACAATTAAAAACGGTACCGCTCCAAATTATTGGTGTGACACCATATTAGATAGCATTGGGGGATATTTCCCGTTCTAACCTAAGAAATTCCCAACATTTAAGACAACCAAACTTTATACTTGAAACTATGCGCAAACTATGCGCAATTCTTTTTTCCCCATCAACTACAAAAATGTGGAATGACCTAGATATATCTATCAGGAATTCGGCTTCTCTCAGTTCATTTAAAACAAATATAAAATCAAAAGGTAAAATACATAATAAATGCTTTCTGGTTTGGGGTTTCCGTAAATTAGATATGCTTCATTGCCGTTTGAGAAACCGCATTTTTCTACATGTTGCGTATACTTTTCTCGTTTACGGAAAGTGCCGACGGTTCCCGATTGAATGAGTAGTTTTATTGACCAATCAGAAGGTGTCTGTCATGATTGCTAAGTGCGGACCTATCTTGTTGACAAATGGAGGATAATGTATGAAAATCTCCGGCGATAAATATTTTTTTTACCACACATTGCATTTACATCGTCGAGAACAGATAACTTTATCAAAAATGCCACCAAAAAAGCCGGCTCCCGTGAAAGCACCAGTAAAACCTGCAGCAAAAGCTGCACCCAAACCAACAGGGAGGGGAGCACCTGCAAAACGAGGTGCCCCGGCTGCAGGTAAGCAAACTATACTCCAGTGGCGGACCCAGGGGTGTTGCCCTACTTGGCAACACCTTTTTTCTGCGTCCATAAATTTCACCTAAGATTTTCCTCCATTTCATTATGGTTTTCCTTCTAATATCAACCATCTCTTGAACTATTATTTTCTATGGCTTCCCCTTGCCAGTAGTTTGAATATCTAAGGGTGTTGCCCAAACAAGGAGTCCACTACGTATACTTATACTCTAAACAATAGGGGATTAATCCTCCATTGTCTATATATTAGTAGGGTCTCCAGTCAGGTCAGTGGTCAAGGCTTACCGGACTGACTCTACCTAATCTTATTGTTCTAATGTCACGGTGTGATCACCCTGTCAGTTGGGAGAGGACTATATATATACCTACTCCCATAACATGAGCGGCCGCTGGTCGGCCTTTTTTCAATCGGATATGATTTTGCTGACTGCGACGCGGCGCCTGTCAAAAGTTTTTCGCCGTGTAAAACCTCTAACATTGTTGGAGTAGACTATACCATATATGCTGAAATATAGGTTAAGTGTTATTTCAAAGGTAAGAGTCCATTTCATGATAGATAAACCTGTATTTTCACCTGTGGTTTCATGTACACATGATCACCAGGAGTAATTTTTAATTCCAATTAAAAAATATATATTTCAAAAATTTCAAAGACCCACCTTAGTATCCCTTTATCAGGTGAATAATAACCAATGTTAGTATAAAAGCCTGGCGTGTACATTTTTTTCATTAGGTGTTGCCGTTGTACATATGTATGCGTACAAATTCACAATAAAAGACAAACAGTTAAATCATCATTCATATTTATGGCAAAATAAATCAACATTTAATTGCCAATGCCAAGGGCATGACACCGCAGTGAAGCATCAATATTTTAACCAAAACCCTACATTTTTACCATTTATTTGACAGATTTTGTTAACACTCGCTCTGCACGGCCATCATAAAATATAAATACTCTACGTTATAAAATATAACCTGGAAACTCAGAACTATTCTACGCCTCACTCAATCTGTTTGACAATGGAAATAATGTCCGATAAATTCTTGCAATCAACGCTCGGGCGTACTTGAAATAGTTTAGTATTACATTTTCAGAAAGAAAAAAAAGACTTGCTACGCTCGGCTGGGATATCATGATTGTCAGAAATAAGGAAGTTCTATTTACTTTTTGGTGCCAGAAAGAAGTATACATGTACAACCGACATGACAATTCTACTTTATAATTCTAGATAAGTTCAAAAAAATTGTCTTTTTCTGAGTTTAAAAATTTTGGCAACACCCAAAATTAATTCCTGGGTCCCCCCCTGTACTCCTCTTAGCCTGCTGCGATTATACTAATTGTCAGTTTAGCAGTCAAGGTCTGACAGATTTTCAAGGTCTAACGTATATATATGGATGTAGACCTAATGTTCGGTTTGGTTAAACGTTAACCAATTGCAACAGAAGTATACTAGGCTGTACTTTTTATTAGCCCGAGTTTCCTCTTGCACTGACACCTGAATTAGACATTTTGACAGATAGATGTCTGGTCCAAACAGTGTCTGTCAAAATGTCTAACTCTGGTGTCAGGGCCAGAGGAAACTCGGGCTAACATTATAAATACATAATCCCCAATAAAAGTTAAAACGACATCAATAAATGAGTGACAAAAATCTATTAAATAGCTGTGCGACAGTATTTAAATGTATACAGCTATTTTGCAGATATCTTACCAGTGTTCTCATATCAGGCCTATGCAAATGAACTGCAGTTTTCCCCTCCAACTTTTTAACTTTTCAACTGGGGTGATATCTTAATTGTTAATAAGAGAACATTTATCAACTTTCAGGAGTGAAAAGAGGTGGTGCAGCTGGACCAGCTGCGGCTAAAGGTAAGGCTGAGCCAGCAAAACCTAAAGCAAAAGTCTGGACAAAACAGGATGAAGCGGCCAAGAAAATTCAAACACAGATCAGAGTGTTTTTGGCCAGAAAGACAGTCGCCAGAAAGAGAAAAGAAAAACAGGACTATGATGAACTCATGGATAAAATTGAAAAAGAGGTAAAAAGAAACTGCATTATAGTTAGAGCACTCTATATAGCAAATATATGGTACATGTATAAGTATTGAAATATTTTGTAAGAAAACTGTTGTATTGCAATTATTCTTGTCATTTGTAATAAAAAATCTACATGTAGCAGCTATGCATTGTATGTTCTGATCGCTAATTAAATTCTTCTTAACCACTGAAAATCAAGTACGTATATTGTACAAATCTGTTTCATCAATTTTGATCTAGGCATTTATGAAAATCGTTCAAATGGAGCAAGAACAAGCAGATCGTGAGCGTAAGAAGGAAGAGGAGGAGAGGCGGAGAAGGCAAGCTGAAACAAAGAGGAGGAAGAGGATGCTGGAGGCAGCCTTTGAGGGAGATATTGATGAAATAATGGCGATTCTTCAGGAGGTATATATTTGTTATTTATAACATTAAACTTAATACCATGTTGCTTTATGTAACATATTGGTTAATATAGTTGTTAATAAACTACAACTTTTCTCGTATCATTTGGAATGTCCTGATTTTAAGTAAATGTACTCTTACACCACAAAATTTGAGGTCAAATCAAGAGGTCACAGATCAAACCCCATTTGTGCTTCATAAGAAAATAAATCAAACAAACCATTGCATTGTGTAAGTTGTCTACCCAACTACTGTCTTTACTTATCAGACCTTTCTTGGTTGACCTTTCTTAGCCTATAGCCAATTGAGGATACAAACAAACAACCAAGCAATCCATTGAAACCGAATACTCTTCCAAATTACAACTTATTATTATTTGATAAAATTTCATTTTGTATAGCTGTATGGTTAATTAAAAAAGACTGAAGCTGTGTCGCTTGGATTATTACATTTTATTCCTGGTATTGTTGTTAGGTAAAAGAATTGGATGATAAAAATGAGGTAGGGACAGACTCAATTGGTATGGCCATCAGAAATAAACATGAGATGGCTGTCATAGAATGTGAGGATCCCAATGAAAACACACCACTCTCTGAGGCTGGAAGTAAGTCCATATAGTATGTCTCTGTTAATATCATTTCTGAAGGAGGGGAGGGAAACACTTTTCCATCATCTCAAACCTTTGTTACTTTTTCGTCTGTGTCAGTGAAACTGATGTTTGTTGTTGAAAATTAAGTAAAGAATGTAATATTAATATTTTAGTTTATGATAACATCATATTCTTAAAACAAGATTAAATGGATTTTTTTAATGAATTTAATACCATAAATTAATGGATTTCAAATGGATGCAAAATGAAGTTGTCTTTTCACAAACTCTAGTACCACAATAATAGAAAAAGTGTGGTAGAAATAGCAATCATAACTATGGTCTTAGAGTCTTATTTTTACTGCTAGATGGTGGAAGTGTGGACACCATACGGCTACTTTTAGAGAAGGGAGCTGACCCCAACACACAGGGTCAGTTCGGCCGCACACCACTGTACCGAGCAGCTTTTGCAGGACACTTGGAAGCTTGTCAGGTATGTAGATTACTAATGAGCAGTTGAAAATAGTCACATAATTCATGTAGCAATGATATTATAGTTTATTGCTGTAAATGACACCCAGATCTGTGAAAAATTAAATCTGAGAACATTCATCGCATGTTAATGCCGGCCATTTCTTTGTGATACTGATCCCACATAACAGTTGAAGCCATCATTGTTGTTAAGATCATAGCTATAAGCAGCTAATCTCTATAGACAGGTTCAATTTGACAGTTTCTATTACCTATCTATAAAAACCACCAACACAGTTGTTCTTAATAGGCAGGTCTTCTGTAAAAAAGCTGATTTCATTGTATAGTGGTTAATATATCTTACACCAGTGTGAACAACAGGCTAGACAACTGTTTTTGTAAATTTTGTATTCCCTCTTTGTTTTTCTTTAGCTGCTCCTCCAGAATGGTGCAGACCCGCGGATATATGCAAGTGACAGCCAGACACCTCAACAGGTAAGACCATTGTCACAATCTAGATGTAAATTTGGACAATAGTTTCTGAACTGTCAAAAAAATGAAGCTTTAATCTCACTTATGTTTGTGTGATGAATAGACATTGTAAAACAAACCCCCTTCTTTGCCCTTAAAAAGAGTGAAGATCGTATTTAAAAGCCATTAAGATTTTTTGTGTGCCTTTATAGACCATCATTTCTACACTACTGAATATTACTGTATGTACCATTAACATTTCTTCCAGTGCTATATTTGCCTCTAACATTCTTCCATTGATATATTTGCTTCTTGTTAATAAAATCAAGTTTTGCCTAGTATTAATTTTGCCCTCCACAGTGGAAATACTATGTAAGTAAACTATATCTTAATATTCATTATCATCATCATGATTTTGCTGCCACTCACTGAGAAGAAAAGTGAACTACAGTGAGTTATGTCGCTATGGAGGACTATCGATTACTTGCGATGTATATTCCCTTCGATGCTTTCCTTATTATTAATGCTTAATATGTAATCAGAAAGACCTTTGAAATGCTTTAATATTCTGTTGGTTTTCTTACCTTAAAATTGTCAATTCCCTACATTTCCAAGAAAAACTATTAGTTCAGTGTTTTGTATAGTGTCTGACTCAAGTTTCTCAAACGTTTCTCGAAACAAAAATATTTTTGGACTTAAAGTTCAAGAAATGTTAAAGAAAATTTTAGGATAATGGCTTCTTAATACTTTCCTATGAAGAACATTAACTTAAGTTCAAGGAACATACATGAAATTGGAGCCTGATCATTCTCTCTTTAAAATGACTTCAAGCAGCCAAGTCTTAAATATTACACATAACATACATGTCTGTCCAAATTGAAGATTATCTCCCCTTTGAATCACAGATAGCCTCTCAGAAGGCTGTACAAGAACTGATAAAAGACTGGGATGTTGCCCAAACAGACATCCTTCTGGCTAAACTTGAAACTGCAAAAGAGCAACGCTTGGAAGAACAGAGAAAGAGAAATGAGTTTGAACAGAGCAAGTATGTATGGAAGGCATAATTTGAACCAATTTTAGATGACTAATATACAGTATCATTAATGTTTGGAAGCAGAGTGCATATAATATATCTTAAATAAATTTAATCCAAATTAGATGATGATGCTCCTGAAAAATGGAATGGAAATAACAGAAAAAAATTCTGTCTTAATGAGGACTCCTGCAGTTGTATTTAATCCTATTAAGCTTAAATAATATATGTCAAATTTTGGAATTTTAATTTTCAGCAAAAACTAAGAGTATTTCATATCTTTGTTATATATATATATTACGTGAAATTGACCATTTTGAATTGCAGGTCAAGTACATTACATTTAAGTTTCAAAATTACATGTAATGAATATAAAAGAGATTCAAGTTTTACCTTCTTAATGGTCAAAACATAATGAAAGCAGACCGTCCTGAGATAAACATTCAAGTTTAACAATTTTGTATAGAAAAGGAATCAGCAAAATCACATATTAAATTTCAAACTGACACATGAATCATCTTAACTTAATTATTGCTTTGTTTTCAGGAATGTAGTATATTTAAGATTTGATACCTAAGTCTGAGCCAGTTTTGAGAAAGAAACATGTAATAGATAATGTACCAGTGGCGTTGATTGCCCTGCAGTATTGTTTAAACATTACTTTAACAATAAAAAACCAGTTTGATTGTCTTGCAGCAACTAGATAGTAATTAATTGTAATTGTTTAGGTATGTTTTATTCTCCTAGTTTTAAAGTCACAAGATGTTTTTGCCTAAGACTGTTTCAGTTCACTTTATTGAATGTCGATATTTCTGATTCCAATTTTTTTCACTTTTCCCCCCTTTTTTTACTTATAAATTTCTTGTTGTGACACAGATTGGAGAGCAAGTTGGAGTCTATTCAGCATGAGTATGATATTCTACAGAAACAGGTTTGTATAGTTTTACTGTCAACTTTAGGATAATATACATTAATTGATAAACTTAGATCCGTCTATTCTGTATTGCATGACAATGCTATGAATTCAATTAACAGTCATAAATAGGAACTGTAAATGCCAATTAAATCATTGGAACAGCCATTTATTACCTTAGAAGTAACATAGTTACAACTGTCTCGATCTCGATGGTAAAATCTTACAATGGAAAACAACTGTTACCCGAAGGGCAGGTAAGCTTATGCCATGGTGCAGCGTCCGTCGTCCGTCTGTCGTCTGTCTTTCCGGCGTCAACTTTTTACTTTAAAAAACTTCTTTTCAGTAACCAAAAGGCCCGGGGTACTGATATTTGGCCAGTAGCATGCTGGGATCAAGGGCTACTAAGTTTGTTCAAATAAATGACCTTGACCCACTTTCAAGGTCACAGGGGTCAAATATGTTAAAATCTTTAAACAACTTCTTCTCAATAACCAAAAGGCCCAGGGTACTGATATTAGGCCTGTAGCATGCTTGGATGAATGGCGTTGACCCACTTCCAAGGTCACTGGGGTCAGATGTCTTTAAAATCTTCAAACAACTTCTTCTCAATAACCAAAAGGCCCAGGGTACTGATATTGGGCCTATAGCAAGCTGGGATCAAGGGCTACCAAGTGTGTTCAAATGAATGATGTTGACCCACCTTGAAGGTCACTGGGGTCAGATGTCTTTAAAATCTTCAAACAACTTCTTCTTAATAACCAAAAGGCCCAGGGTACAGATAATGGGCCTATAGCATGCTGGGATCAAGGCCTACCAAGTTTGTTCAAATGAATTACGTTGACCCACTTTCAAGGTCACTGGGGTCAGATGTCTTAAAATCTACGAACAACTTCTTCTCAATAACCAAAAGGCCCAGGGTACTGATATTAGGCCTGTAGCATGCTTGAATGAATGGCGTTGACCCACTTCCAAGGTCACTGGGGTCAGATGTCTTTAAATCTACGAACAACTTCTTCTCAATAACCAAAAGGCCCAGGGTACTGATATTAGGCCTAAACAAGCTGGGATCAAGGGTACTCCCATAACATGAGAGGCCGCTGGTCGGCCTTTTTTCAATCGGATATGATTTTGCCGACTGCGACCTCTCATTTCCGAAGCACTAATTCTTTGATGCAGTTTCCGCCCGAAATTCGGGCGGAACAAAATCGGCTTGACAAACTCACTTAAGTGGTTAATAGTTCATGACAGCGATGTCTACTCACCGTTTATATAATATAGATCTCATATGTATGTCACAGACACAAATATATAGTATATTACGGAATAGAACACTCAAAGTACATGTCCATGTCGTTGTAGCACATCTCTGACCTACATTTAAAACATGGCTTCTGGATTAATACAAAATAGCAGGGGGGATTTCAAATGGAACGAAATGATACGGAGTTTGTTTGTATTCCGCTTGTGAAACATTACATGTAATCCATTTTTGTATTAACCGGAAAAATCATGGCAAATGCTGTCTGTTTCGCTTCGAATGAGAAAAAACTCATTATGTATGTCTTTGACACGCAATTTTTCTCATATAATCATGGATTTATGGAAAGGAATATTAATTGGACCCTTTTGACCATTTACATGTATGTAAACACGATATACTCTTTCTTAATCCGAACTTTGAAAATGTGATCGTTAGCATCGGGAAAATCAGCTATGGGCAGTAAGAGGTTACGCGGCGCCTGTCAAAAGTTTTTCGCCATGTAAGACCTCTAACATTGTTGGAGTAGGATCAAGGGCTACCAAGTGTGTTCAAATGAATGATGTTGACCCACCTTGAAGGTCACTGGGGTCAGATGTCTTTAAAATCTTCAAACAACTTCTTCTTAATAACCAAAAGGCCCAGGGTACTAATATTGGGCCTATAGCATGCTGGGATCAAGGGCTACCAAGTTTGTTCAAATGAATGACGTTGACCCACTTCCAAGGTCATTGGGGTCAGATGTCTTAAAATCTACGAACAACTTCTTCCCAATAACCAAAAGGCCAGGGGTACTGATATTAGGCCTGTGGCATGCTGGGATCAAGGGCTACCAAGTTTGTTCAAATAAATGATGTTGACCCACTTTCAAGGTCACTGGGGTCAGATGTCTTAAAATCTACGAACAACTTCTTCTCAATAACCAAAAGGCCAGGGGTACTGATATTAGGCCTGTAGCATGCTGGGATCAAGGGCTACCAAGTTTGTTCAAATGAATGACGTTGACCCACTTCCAAGGTCACTGGGGTCAGATGTCTTAAAATCTACGAACAACTTCTTCTCAATAACCAAAAGGCCCAGGGTACTGATATTGGGCCTATAGCATGCTGGGATCAAGGGCTACCAAATTTGTTCAAATGAATTACGTTGACCCACTTTCAAGGTCACTGGGGTCAGATGTCTTAAAATATACGAACAACATCTTCTCAATAACCAAAAGGCCCAGGGTACTGATATTGGGCCTGTAGCATGCTGGGATCAAGGGCTACCAAGTTTGTTCAAATAAATGATGTTGACCCACTTTCAAGGTCACTGGGGTCAGATGTCTTGAAAAACCTTCAAACAACTTCTTCTCAATAACCAAAAGGCCCAGGGTACTGATATTGGGCCTGTAGCATGCTGGGATCAAGGGCTACCAAGTTTGTTCAAATAAATGATGTTGACCCACTTTCAAGGTCACTGGGGTCAGATGTCTTGAAAAACCTTCAAACAACATCTTCTCAATAACCAAAAGGCCCAGGGTACTGATATTGGGCCTGTAGCATGCTGGGATCAAGGGCTACCAAGTTTGTTCAAATAAATGATGTTGACCCACTTTCAAGGTCACTGGGGTCAGATGTCTTGAAAAACCTTCAAACAACTTTTTCTCAATAACCAAAAGGCCCAGGGTACTGATATTGGGCCTGTAGCATGCTGGGATGAAGTGCTACCAAGTTTGTTCAAATGAAATATGTTGACCCTCTTTCAAGGTCACTGGGGTCAGACTTGGTAGCCCTTGATCCCAGCATGCTACATGCCCAATATCAGTACCCCGGGCCTTTTGGTTATTGAGAAGAAGTTGTTCGTAGATTTTAAGACATCTGACCCCAGTGACCTTGAAAGAGGGTCAACATAATTTGAAGGTCACTGGCTAAGATGTCTTAAAATCTTCAACGAGTTCTTCTCAATAACCAAAAGGCCCAGGGTACTGAAACTAGGCCTGTAGCATGCTGGGATTAATGACTACCAAGTTAGTTCAAATGAATGACCTTGATCCACTTTCAACCTAATGTCCTTGTTCGACAATCAAGGTCACAGGCGTCATATGTTTTAATCTTTAAACAGGTTCTTATGAAATCTTAAGATTACAAGTGTGAGATGAGAACCAGGTGAGCGATTGCAGGCCCATTGGGCCTCTTGTTTATCTACTAATTGTAACGAAGTGAATTAAACAAATCAGAATCAACAATCAATTTTGTATGTGAATTTTGTTTTGATTTACCAGTATCATAAACTTTTTAGAACATATATTTCTTATAGAGTAATTCTTTGCATTTGTTTTTCAGAAATTCAATCTGAGCTATGATTCATGGGGGAAAAAAATGTTGTAGTCAATTTGATAACGTATTTAGAAAAAAGAAAAAAATCATCAATATTGCTCATATGCTGATGGACATTTACAATCCTGTGTTAATTATTTTGCACTATTTGATTGTTGATACACATGTATACTTAATTAAATATGACACAAATCCAATTTTGCAGAAAATTATTTGCTGATGTTTTTTTGTTTCCACGGCAATAAGTTAATTATAGTCAAATATATTAACTAAACATGCAAGATATTTATTTTTTTACCAAATTTTAAAACTCACTTTAATTTGTATTGCTATATACTGTACATGTGATATTCACAAGTTATGCACCATAAGCTGAACATGCAGATAACTTAATTACGATCTTGTCAGCGGCTTTGCATTTTTATTTTTATTTTTTTCTTCATAGCTAAATAAGGCTTACGCAGAGCTTGAAAAGAGGATCTCGGAGCATGATGAAGCAGTGTCCAGTGGTTTTGACCGTCCAGAAATCACACTACAGGTAAGAATCAGTATGATCCATGGTTTGTTTGACTAATTAATTCAACCACCACAACGCACACCAATATTTGTGAGGAAAAGGATCATAACTAGCGAGTCTACTGCAGCACTGTGATATAGTTGGTATTATTTATGGGGATTTTAATTTCACTTTATTCGCAGTACTTTCATGACTTCAAAGGTTCCCCTAATGAACCTTTCAAGAGGCGAAAGTACTAGGAAAGTAACAAGAAACTCTTTTGTCATTTCTTTTCTATTTAAAATTGATGTTTTTTGTATATATTATATAGAAGACATGCTGTTTTGAGGAGTTCTGGATCCGATTTACTACCATAGCTGGTTGTTAGATTGTATAAAGGTGTGATTTTGTATATGTTTCAGGCTATTCATGATTATGAAGATGAAGTTGAGATTTTAAAACTTAATACGGAAAAGGCAAGAGAGAAGTTAGCAAATGCCAAGCTAGAACTTCGTGAACAGAAGAGAGCAGGACAATGTAAGATTTATTTCTCTGGTCACTTACAGTTTAGGACACAATATGGCATGAATAAGCCTTTTTCATGTGTTGAACTGGACTGCGACGTTCAGCAGTGACCATGAGGTAGCACAGTTTGTGAGAGCATCTGTCTGAAGTTGGGAGGTCCCAGGTAAATTATATCTTAGATATATCTTATGTCTAGATATTGCATTTTGCATTTAGTGTAACCCCGAACTCTTGAGATTTTTCCTTTTCAAGAATTTGCGAACAGCAGTAGTATAAAATTGTGATCAAACTGTGTTTCTCTGTCATACTTGTTTTGGGTAGAGTTCTAAAAAAGAGTAAAGAGAAATATACTACTTTTGTTAAAATAAAGTAGACAATTTTACATAATGGCATCCCTAATTTACTCAAATGGCATCGGGTATGCCCTGCCTGTCCAGGGGCTACAGTATTATGATTTTTTATAAGTTATTATACGCCCGTCGAATTTCGACGGAGGTATTATGGTATAGTGTTTGCGTCCGTCCGGTTAAAGTTTTGGTGCAAGTTTCTACAGTGGTACACAGTTTAGTGAAATCATGTGTTATTGTCCTAATTTTTGGCATGGATGTGCATGTGGGGTCTAACAAGGACAATATGGAGATTTAATTTGGGAAAATATTTATTTTTTTGGAAATTTTGGCTGTGTTTGGGACTTAATTAACTTTTCTCGCACAATTTCTCCGTTATTAAAGTTTTGGTGCAAGTTTCTACAGTGGTATACAGTTCAGTCAAATCATGTGTTATTGTCCCTAATTTCTGGCATGGATGTTCATGTGGAGTCTAACAAGGAAATTTTGGATGTGTTTGGGACTTAACTTTTCTCGTGCAATTTCTCAGTTAAAGTTTTGTTGCAAGTTTCTACAGTGGTGTACAGTTCAATCAGATCATGTGTTATTGTCCTTATTAGGTACTTTAAGTATCAAACAAACAAAAAATCAATGCATAGGGTCAGACGGACGTATTATGCCTCCGTTTGCGATGCTCTTGTTATTGTATAGCTGGGCTACTGATTTTAATTTTGAATTATATATTTTCTCAGCTGCTTTGGGTGAAGATGAACTACCAGGGGTTAAGGTGATGACCCGTGAACTGGAAGATGTCCTGCTAAGGGATGTGGGGAATAAAATCAAAGACTCTGGCATGTAAGTAACTCCACTGGTCTTATCATGTACTATCAAACCCGTATTTAGAGACCACCTTGAGAGTCCATTTTAAGTGATCTGTTACTGCAAGCGATCTCTCAATACATTTAGCATGGAAAAATATAACTGCAATAGGGAATTTTAGAAGTGTTTTTTTAACACAGGTGGTCTCTTAATAAAAGTTCACATAAAAATAAGTGCAATTGGGAGCTTTAAAAGTGGTTTCTTAACACAGGTGGCCTGTTTCATGTTCTGATAAGTGATGAATTTTTTTTACAGCTGTAAAAAATAGTAATCTATGGAAGTGTATTGCATTTAATTATGCTGGAAATTTTCTTCCACATGAAGACAGAAATAACTGATAATTTAACTTCACATTCAAAACCTTTTTTAAATAAACCAGTATATAAAAGCTTTTTTTTATCTATTTATAGGTGGCCACTGATCATTGACCCCAATGCTCAGGTCGCGACCTTCCTACGTTACCGTGACACCAACTACCTCAATGCCCTCAGTCCGGCCCAGATGGAGGCTGACAAAGCCAGGCTGGCCATTATTGGGTCTATCAGGTACTTATAGACAGTGCTGCTGGAACCTCTGGTGTACTAGTCTTATGCTCTACCAAATGAGCTAAAGAGAATTTCTCCCTAGCCGAGTCGGTAGGATACAGCTTGCACACCAGCAAAGAACTTGTCCTGAGTTTTCCTGCGGTCGTAGCAGTTCTTGTGAAAGTATCCAAGTATTTTGGACCATATTTCCACGGTTCTTACATGGGCACCAATGTAACAGAGGTCCTTATTTTGTCACTGCTTCCACTAGTATTTGAACCACAGTGGGTGGGATCTCTGACTTACTATAGTCTTACAACTCTACTGATATTGTACCATCAGAGGCAGGAACTCGAGGTTTACACTTATCATATATCATAAACTATATTATTCAGTCAATCCATTACAAGTGGACACTTTGGCCAGGGCATACCCAGTCTACTGTAAACTCAATAACCTACAGGCAATACTATTGACAAGTTTTTGTATGTGCTTGTGCATACTAAAATTAAATTCAGGGTTATGTATTGGTAAACTCTTGTTAAAGAAAGTTTACATGATTGTAGCCCCTCTGTCCTGTTTTTTCCAGGTATGGTAAACCCTTGTTTACATGATTGTAGCCCCTCTGTCCTGCTTTTATTTCAGGTATGGTAAACCCCTGGTGTTGGACATGATGGAGGTGGATATGTTTGACACGGTCACCATGAGGTTTGATGAAATTCTTGAGGGCCTCATGAGCAAGATCATGGACAGAAGCATTTTAGAAGAGGAAAAGTGAGTTATATGCTCTTTATACGTAGTACCTTTTAATAACCAACTTTCATGATTATTGGCAGTAATTCTATTTCTAAAATAGTTAAAAGGAACTTCCGTTTATAATAATGGAACTTCAAATACAAATTTGTTCTAACATCAGTTGTAATAAATAGAGGATATTTAATGGTGTTTTCAGTAATAACAAATATATTTCATGAGTGTGGCTAATATTTTGATATTTTCACGAGTACACAGCACGAGTGAAAAATATCAAAACTTTTAGCCACACGAGTGAAATACATTTGTTATTACTGAAAACACTGTTAAATTTTCTATTTATTACATTTTTTAAAAAACATGAAAAATGTAGAAGGGCAAGTATTAGCGCCATATTCTTATGACGTCACGCTTGACAACAAGGCTGTGCACCATTTTGAATGGGATACTCAAAGCAGTTCCGATGTTTTCTGCAATTTTCTGTTATGATTGCTCATACAAATGTTATAAATTGTATATATATATGTTAATACTTAAGTGTGTGTACCAAACATTTACCAAAACAACCACTTATTCTACTGTCGCTTCATTTGAATCTGAACAAAAAAATTGTTGCCTTTGAATGCAGCAATTAGAAGATATGATTGGTCAATACCAAAAAGTGATATTTTCACACTGTAAAAATATCACTTTTGATATTTGTCACAGTGTGAAAGATATCAGTTTTATCAAGTTGATAGAATCTGATATTTCACTGGCAAAAATGTAATAAATCAGTATAATGTTTAATGTCGTTGATATTCTACCAGAAGATGTCAAATTGGTTTAGATTAAAGGTAAGTGAGGTTGGGGTTACGGTGCAAGTGTCGGGAAAACCTAGAAGCCTTTCTCAACACTTCAGAACTTTATCCACTTTCCCCCAGCCATTTTTGTCATCATTGAATTTTTTCCTGCTATACATTAGTTTGTTATTTCCCATTTAATGTTTTCATATTTTTTTTACAGTTACTTGAAAATAGTGAAAAAATCTGATGGAGATGAGTATGCAAAGACAAAATTTAACGACTTACGAACAAAAAATTTCAAATTTGTTATCATCACCAAGAATCCATATCCACCAGAGGAACTACTGGAGAAGACCTATGTTATTCGTATGTATGTACCTACCTGAACTACTGGAGAAGACCGATGTTATTGGTATGTATGTACCTACCTGAACTACTGGAGAAGACCTATGTTATTCGTATGTATGTAACTTCCTGAACTACTGGAGAAGACCTATGTTATTTGTATGAATGTACCTACCTGAGGTGGACTAACAAAATTTATATTGTAATAATAATAATATACAACATTTATATAGCACCCTATATAATTTGTAAAACTACTCTAAAGCACTTTCGATTGTAAGAACATTAGAGGATGACCCTGCACTGCTCTCTGGTAATTTATAGTACTACTGGGGGGAGGACTGCTCTCTGGTAATTTATAGTACTACTGGGGGGAGGACTGCTCTCTGGTAATGTATAGTACTACTGGGGGGAGCACTGCTCTCTGGTAATTTATAGTACCACTGGGGGAGGACTGCTCTCTGGTAGGTAATTTATAGTACCACTGGGGGAGGACTGCTCTCTGGTAATTTATAGTACCACTGGGGGAGGACTGTTCTCTGGTAATGTATAGTACCACTGGGGGATGACTGCTCTCTGATAATTTATAGTACCACTGGGGGAGGACTGCTCTCTGGTAATGTATAGTACCACTGGGGAAGGACTGCTCTGTGGTAATGTGTAGTACCACTGGGGGAGGACTGCCCTCTGGTAGGTAATTTATAGTACCACTGGGGGAGGACTGCTCTCTGGTAATGTATAGTACCACTGGGGGAGGACTGCTCTGTGGTAATGTGTAGTACCACTGGGGGAGGACTGTCCTCTGGTAGGTAATTTATAGTACCACTGGGGGAGGGCTGCTCTCTGGTAATTTATAGTACTACTGGGGGGATCACTGCTCTCTGGTAATTTATAGTACCACTGGGGGAGGACTGCTCTGGTAATGTATAGTACCACTGGGGGAGCACTGCTCTCTGGTAATTTATAGTAACACTGGGGGAGCACTGCTCTCTGGTAATGTATAGTACCACTGGGGGAGCACTGCTCTCTGGTAATTTATAGTAACACTGGGGGTGCACTGCTCTCTGGTAATGTATAGTACCACTGGGGGAGGACTGCTCTCTGGTATTGTATAGTACCACTGGGGGAGGACTGCTCTCTGGTCTTTTATAGTACCACTGGGGGAGGACTGCCCTCTGGTAATGTATAGTACCACTGGGGGAGGACTGCCCTCTGGTAATGTATAGTACCACTGGGGGAGGACTGCTCTGTGGTAATGTATAGTACCACTGGGGGAGGACTGCTCTCTGGTAATGTATAGTACCACTGGGGGAGGACTGCTCTGTGGTAATGTATAGTACCACTGGGGGAGGACTGCTCTGTGGTAATGTATAGTACCACTGGGGGAGGACTGCCCTCTGGTAATGTATAGTACCACTGGGGGAGGACTGTTCTCGGTAATGTATAATACCACTGGGGGAGGACTGCTCTCTGGTAATGTCTAGTACCCCTGGGGGAGGACTGCCCTCTGGTATTTTATAGTACCACTGGGGGAGGACTGCCCTCTGGTAATTTATAGTACCACTGGGGGAGGACTGCTCTCTGGTATTGTATAGTACCACTGGGGGAGGACTGCTCTCTGGTAATGTATAATACCACTGGGGGAGGACTGCTCTCTGGAAATGTATAGTAATACTGGGGGGAGGACTGCTCTCTGGTAATTTATAGTCCCACTGGGGGAGGACTGTTCTCTGGTGATTTATAGTACCACTGGGGGAGCACTGTTCTCTGGTAATTTATAGTACCACTCTGCTCTCTGATAATTTATAGTACCACTGGGGGAGAACTGCTCGCTTTATAGTACCACTGGGGGAGGACTGCCCTCTGGTAATTCATAGTACCACTGGGGGAGGACTGCCCTCTGGTAATTCATAGTACCACTGGGGGAGGACTGCCCTCTGGTAATTCATAGTACCACTGGGGGAGGACTGCCCTCTGGTAATTTATAGTACCACTGTGGGAGCACTGCTCTCTGGTAATGTATAGTACTACTGGGGGGAGCACTGCGTAATTTATAGTACTACTGGGGGGGGCACTGCTCTCTGGGAATTTATAGCACTACTGGGGGGAGCCCTGCTCTCTGGTAATTTATAGTACAACTGGGGGAGCACTGCGCTCTGGTAATGTATAGTACCACTGGGGGAGGACTAGTACTGCTATCTGGTAATTTATAGTGCTACTGCGGGGAGGTCTGCTCTCTGGTAATTTATAGTACAACTGGGGGAGCACTGCGCTCTGGTAATGTATAGTACCACTGGGGGAGTACTGTTCTCTGGTAATGTATAGTACCTCTGGGGGAGGACTAGTACTGCTCTCTAGTAATTTATAGTACCACTGGGGGGAGCACGGCTCTCTGGTAATTTATAGTACCCCTGGACTACTGGGGGGAGCACTGCTCTCTGGTAATTTATAGCACTACCGGGGGGAGCACTGCTCTCTGGTAATTTATAGGTAATGTATAGTACCACTGGGGGAGGACTGCCCTCTGGTAATTCATAGTACCACTGGGGGAGGACTGTTCTCTGGTAATGTATAGTACCTCTGGGGGAGGACTTCTCTGTGGTAATGTATAGTACCACTGGGGGAGGACTAGTACTGCTCTCTAGTAATTTATAGTACCACTGGGGGAGAACTGCTCGCTTTATAGTACCACTGGGGGAGGACTAGTACTTCGCTCTGGTAATTTATAGTACCACTTGGGGAGCACTGCTCTCTGGTAATTTATAGCACTGCTGGGGGGAGCACTGCTCTCTGGTATTTTATAGTACCACTGGGGGAGGACTGTTATCTGGTAATTTATAGTACTACTGGGGGGAGCACTGCGTAATTTATAGTACTACTGGGGGGGGCACTGCTCTCTGGTAATTTATAGGTAATGTATAGTACCACTGGGGGAGCTCTGCTCTCTGGTAATTTATAGTACTACTGGGGGCGCACTGCTCTCTGGTAATTTATAGCACTGCTGGGGGGAGCACTGCTCTCTGGGAATTTATAGCACTACTGGGGGGAGCCCTGCTCTCTGGTAATTTATAGTAGCACTGGGGGAGGACTGCTCTCTGGAAATGTATAGTAATACTGGGGGGGGGACTGCTCTCTGGTAATTTATACTACCACTGGGGGAGGACTGCTCTGTGGTAATGTATAGTACCACTGGGGGAGTACTGTTCTCTGGTAATGTATAGTACCTCTGGGGGAGGACTTCTCTGTGGTAATGTATAGTACCACTGGGGGAGCTCTGCTCTCTGGTAATTTATAGTACTACTGGGGGCGCACTGCTCTCTGGTAATTTATAGTCCCACTGGGGGAGGACTTCTCTGTGGTAATGTATAGTACCACTGGGGGAGGACTAGTACTGCTATCTGGTAATTTATAGTGCTACTGCGGGGAGTACTGCTCTCTGGTAATTTATAGGTAATGTATAGTACCACTGGGGGAGGAATAGTACTGCTCTCTGGTAATTTATAGTCCCACTGGGGGAGGACTGTTCTCTGGTACTTTATAGTACCACTGGGGGAGCACTGTTCTCTGGTAATTTATAGTTCCACTGGGGGTGCACTGCTATCTGGTAATTTATAGTGCTACTGCGGGGAGGACTGCTCTCGGTAATTTATAGTAGCACTGGGGGAGCACTGCTATCTGGTACCTTATAGTACTACTGGGGGGAGCACTGCGTAATTTATAGTACTACTGGGGGCGCACTGCTCTCTGGTAATTTATAGCACTGCTGGGGGGAGCACTGCTCTCTGGCAATTTATAGTACCACTGGGGGAGACTGCTCTCTGGTAATTTATAGCACTACCGGGGGGAGCACTGCTCTCTGGTATTTTATAGTACCACTGGGGGAGTACTGTTCTCTGGTAATGTATAGTACCTCTGGGGGAGGACTAGTACTGCTCTCTAGTAATTTATAGTACCACTGGGGGAGAACTGCTCGCTTTATAGTACCACTGGGGGAGGAGTGCTCTCTGGTAATGTATAGTACCACTGGGGGAGCACTGCCCTCTGGTAATGTATAGTACCACTGGGGGAGTACTGTTCTCTGGTAATGTATAGTACCTCTGGGGGAGGACTAGTACTGCTCTCTAGTAATTTATAGTACCACTGGGGGCGCACTGCCCTCTGGTAATTTATAGTACCACTCTCTGGTAATTTATAGTACCACTTGGGGAGCACTGCTCTCTGGTAATTGATAGTACCACTGGGGGAGGACTGTTATCTGGTAATTTATAGTACTACTGGGGGCGCACTGCTCTCTGGTAATTTATAGGTAATGTATAGTACCACTGGGGGAGTACTGTTCTCTGGTAATGTATAGTACCTCTGGGGGAGGACTAGTACTGCTCTCTAGTAATTTATAGTACCACTGGGGGGGGCACTGCTCTCTGGTAATTTATAGGTAATGTATAGTACCACTGGGGGAGCTCTGCTCTCTGGTAATTTATAGTACTACTGGGGGGAGCACTGCTATCTGGTAATTTATAGTGCTACTGCGGGGAGGACTGCTCTCTGGTAATTTATAGTACCACTGGGGGAGGACTGCTCTGTGGTAATGTATAGTACCACTGGGGGAGCACTGCTCTCTGGTAATTTATAGTACTACTGCGGGGAGGACTGCTCTCTGGTAATTTATAGTCCCACTGGGGGAGGACTGCTCTGTGGTAATTTATAGTACCACTGGGGGAGGACTACTCTCTGGTAATTTATAGTACTACTGGGGGGTGCACTGCTATCTGGTAATTTATAGTGCTACTGCGGGGAGGACTGCTCTCGGTAATTTATAGTAGCACTGGGGGAGCACTGCTATCTGGTAATTTATAGTGCTACTGCGAGGAGGACTGCTCTCTGGTAATTTATAGTACCACGGGGGGAGGACTGCTCTGTGGTAATGTATAGTACCCCTGGGGGAGCACTGCTCTCTGGTAATTTATAGGACTACTGCGGGGAGGACTGCTCTCTGGTAATGTATAGTACCACTGGGGGAGGACTGCTCTCTGGTAATTTATAGTACTACTGGGGGGAGGACTGCTGAGGAGTTCTGAAAGTTACATGTTGTTGGTGTGTGGCTGAATGTAGGATGGAAAGTTGGTCTGGAAATGGATAGAAATTTTGACATTTACAAGTGGAAATACTAGCAACAGCATTTTGTCTGGACAACTTTGACCATTCATTGGTCGATTTAAGCAGCAGGTGTCTATATAGTGTTCATATATTGTAAGTCGGAAATTGTTCATTATACATAATGTAGGTAGCTATATATATACAATGTATATATAAACAGGCAGAGCCTCATCGTACCTACCTGAGGTGTATGTATATATATATGTATAAATATATATATAATTATAATTATATAGGTGATACCAGATATTATAGACTGTTTGGAGCTTTACCAAGATTGACTCTTTTGAGGTTTTAAGATGGATCAAAATTGAACTAATGAGGCTCTGCCTGTTTATTTATCAATCAATGCTAGATACTCTGTGATCAGGACTTGATATCATGAACTTTTACAGACTCTTCATAACAGTCTATGACTTCCTTCACAAACGGGCATCACCATGTAAGTACTCTGTACTGTATTTTGAATTCTATAAGCAGTCAAGGTTAGGCAATACCACTAAGTAGTCAGAAAGTCTGTTCTTGTACGAAAATATGTCACATTGTAGTGTATGTAGTTCGTGTGTAGGGCATCACAA